AAAACCAAATTTAATCCCAATAACCAAATGACAGAATTTCTAATCTCCTCCTCATGATGCATCCCCCCCTCATCCTCCTCCTCCTCCTCCTCCCCTCCCTCTTCCTCCTCCCCTTCTCAGCCGCCGACGTCGGAACAGCCGCCTCTTATACCCCGCCGTACCTCCCAACAGCTTGCTACGGCGACAACCGGTCGCCGTTACCCGCCGACGCAGCTTTCGCAGCCGCCGGAACCGGTATATGGGACAACGGTGCATCGTGCGGCCGTAGGTATGTTGTGCGTTGCCTGAGCTCTAGTACTCCGGCGGCTTGCATCAGCGACGCCACCGTGGTGGTTACCGTTGTCGATGAGGCCGACGGGCTGGGGTCGCGCCAGTCGACGGAGAGGACCTCGATGGCGCTTTCGCTGGCCGCGTATGAGCAGATTGCGACGCTGAATGCGCCGGCGATTAATATTGAATTCGCAATGTTGTGACTGCGCGCAACAAATGTCGGGCTGTCTGAAGGTTTTGATTTGGTATTTGATGATTTTTTTTTTTTGGTCAAAATTTTAGTTATATTTTATTTGGTATATGATAAAGATCTATAATACTCTTCATATTAGGAGCCATTTTTTTATTTTTTATGGCATAAAATGACTTTTTAAGTTGTGTTTTTTTTATTTTTTTTAATATTTTAACTATTCAAAATTTTAAATATTACATTTTAACCACCCAAAACTCTAACTAAAAGCTTTCTTGATTGGTAAAGGAAGGTCATTGTGATGAAAAATTGTGGTTAAAATGTTATATTCAATATTTTAAGTGATTCAAATGTAAAGATTTTTTTTAATAACATAAATAATTACGTTTAAGAAAATGTGTCTTTTATTTATTTATGAATAGATAGTGATGGAATGTGATATGATATTATGACATTTGGTGCTTAGAATAGGTCAATATTTTATCATTTTTTTATTATTTTTGATCGAATTTATCATAGTTTGTATCGATAGTTACGTTTGAAAATTATTATATATTTTTTATAAAATATAAGTAATATATTTTATAGATTGTTTTGAGATTAAAACCATCGATTATAGGATAATAAGCTGCTAAAAAATGCTATGTTAGAAAACAAAAATTTTGAAGTTGCAATTGGAGCATCAACAGCCAAACATCCTTATTTTAGGTGTATTGAGACAAAAGAAAGATATAACTTTAGAAAGCTCATCATGTAGCTTATCTTAGGTGTGTCTGGGGGTGCTGTTGCTTTTTCAAGATGTCGTTGTAAAGCTGATTTTGGAGAAGCAGATTTTTAGGAGCTATCAGAAAGCTGCTGATGAAGTAGCATGTGTCTGTTTGGGAGATTTGTTGTGTTGTTGTTATTTCTGATGAGAAAGGTTGTTTTGTCCTTATATATGTAATATATTAAAATAAGTGCAATTTTTTAGAATATTCAAAACTAAATAACAGAAAGATGTCTTACTGCTAAAAAAACTAACAATCCAGTCCAAACTATTCTAATACATAAAAATGGATTAGTTATTGACGCAATTGACTACAATAATAAGGGAAACAACGGTAATCAACTAGCCCATAATGATATGTCTTGAAATCCTCATGATCATGTCTTCGGGGCAATCTCCTATCCATCCCTGCATCTCTCCTCGACTGAAAATGGTCTGGAGGTACCTCATCACTGTCATCAACCCAACAAGATTAGATGCAGTCTACATAAGTCATCTTTCTGGGGCAAGAATAAAATCTTCTTCCGTAGTTGCATTCCTTCCTGGACTGATGTTGAACACACCTATCGCCACAATAACAGAGTGAAACCTTTGAAGTGTTTGATGATCTTGAGCTCATATTTCCTGTTATTATAATACAATTTTGCTCTAACTAAAAAAAAATTAAGTTTATACAGCATTGGAGAAATTCAGAAAATATATATATAAGCAAACTTAAAATCAAGAATTACAGTTTATTGGTACATAAAAAAGAGTGGTACAACATAGGTTGCTATACAAATTATGAAAAAATACACCTAGAGAAAAACTTATAGATGAAGTATAAATTGTCAACTACAAAAATTACTAGGTGGTGTTATATAAGAAAAGTTGTTTCATTCACCAAATAATCATTAATCCTCTCTCTCAACTGTAACATCTCCACGACGCCATGTCCCTCGGAAGTGTCATACTTGTTTGTCCTACATTCCTCTTCTTGCAACAATGGTCAGGCTTGATGTTGGTTAGCTTTCTCAGGAATGCAGGTAGAGTCATCATCTAAGACCCTGAAATCAATATCATCTCGAACTAAGATTTTGATGATATTGATTTCAATGGTAGGCTTGATGTTGATGCCTCCGTATTAAATTATAAAGCACAATCATTGCAATAACTATCTTCACTTATTTATTGAAAGAATATGTAGATATATCTTAGAATATGACCCGCTTCTTTTTCCATACATCAAATGATTGCTTGATGACACTACGTAATGATGAGTGGTTTTTGTTGAAGTTAATTCCTCCTTCTAATAACTTAAATGTTGCGCTCAAAGTTAGGGAGGTGATATCTCGTGTTGGGAAATGGCTTCAATAAGCCATGTTATCCTAAATGAATAAGGTAAAACGTATTTCAAAAGAACATGTTATTCTCAATACACGTAAATGCTTAACTTATGGACAAAGAAAGTAGTTTAACACGAAATCCACAATAATGAAATGTCAAAAATTGTACACTCAAGTCATAGTTTACAATAGAAATGTCAAATACTACAAATAGTCATTCTGTGATAGTAGCAACATGTAAATACATATATATATAAGAACGATCTGTGATATATATATATATATATATGCATGTCATCTAACTAGTTTGACTCTCTAAGAAATAATAGAGGTAAAGAATCCTCCATTCAGGGAGTAATGTGAAGAAAGCCTCTTGCTTGTTTCGATCCTCCAGAAGTTCTACGGCAAATAAGTAGAGGGTGTTTCTTAAAAAATTATTATAATTAAGTAGCATAGCTTGACAACATCTGGCATTTTTGGGTATGCATGGAGAGCAATACGAACACTTGAAGTAATACTGATGTAGATTGTTACCAGTTGTGATATCTGCTGGGATAAATGAGCTACCCCAACTTTAGTTTTTTTTTCCCTTTTTTGTGTTGAGGGTGCGAAAAAATTTTCTGTCCAGGTAGCTCTACATGCGGAATCCAATAATAAGCTACCACGTGTGCTACATCGCAGAGATTAAAAATGAAGCCAAGTGCCACAACTAAATCACAGAGGCATTATCCTCATCAATCTTGAAAAAAACAAAAGAACTTTAACCCATGTTTTCTTCGAAATCTGCTAGATTTAGCATTTTTCTTGATTATTCTTTGATCTCGCCAAACTATGTTTAAATAGTTAGTAAACTATAGCTTTGACACTTTCTAATTGATTTCTTAACAAGCTTCCTCATGGAAATGATCGTGGTACTCCTTTAAAATTGCATATTACCTGGACACGTATACTTACGTGAAGTGGCCGCTCGCTTCGTGGTGCTTTTGCAGCATCAAGTTTTTGCGACCGTTGCTAGCGCAGCTGCACTTAGAAAAAGTTTTGAAACAAAGAAAAAATGTAATTGAATAGCTAGAAATCTAGATTTAGTATTGTTTATATTTTTAATTTTTGTGTCTGAAGTTTTTTTTCTTGTTCTTTTCATTATTCATGCGAGCACTTGTATTGTTTTGTGTTTTTCTTTGCAGGAACTGAAAAAAAGAGCAAAAAGCTAAAAACCCAAAAAAAATAATGTTTTTATTTATTTCATTTTCTTGCATTTGTTTGAGTTTGTACATGTTGATTGTGATTGTGTATGAAATGACTCTTGTGTGTGTTGCTTGGAGTCAGTTGTTGTGTTTTTCTTTTGAGCCTTTTTCTTTGAGTCTAGATTACTATTGTATGAGTTCACTTTCACTTTTTCTAATGTATGTGTAGGAGTGCATGCACTAACTTAGCACCGATTGACCCTAAAATTTAGCAGACTTTTAGACATCGTAGAAGAGCACTCAGCACCCCTGAAACACCTGTAGGAATGGCTCACCATCTGGACCCAAACATGCGACCTCTTAGGGACTTTTCTAATCCCACTGCTGAGGAGATTCACATGTGTATCAATTACCCTACAGTAGAAGACAATACCTTTGAACTGAGACCTATCATGATTCAAATGGTTCAGCAAAACCATTTTAGGAGAGGGACCACTAAAGACCCAAATATAAACTTAGCAAAGTTTCTAGAACCGTGTGCTACATTTAGGTATAACGGTGTTCTCAGTGATGTTGTTAGACTAAGGCTTTTTCTCTTTTCTCTGAGGGATAGAGCCAAAGTGTGGTTGAACTCTTTAGGCTCAAGATCCATCAGTACTTAGAATGACTTAGCTTAAAAATTCTTAGACAAGTATTTCCCTCCTTCCAAAACTACTAAACCTAGGAATGACATCACATCATTCTTAAAACTTTAGGGGAAACAACTTATAAGGCCTGGGAGAGATTTAAGGAATTGCTTAGGAGGTGTCCCAACCATGCCTTACCCAACTGGCTCATTATCCTAACCTTCTATAACGGACTTTTAGGTTCTTTTAGGTCCCTCATAGATGCTATTGCAGAAATTATACTAATATCCAAACCTTATGAAGAGGCATATGATTTGATTGAGGAGTTGTCACCAATCACTTTCAATGGTCTGGTGAGAGGTTGCAACCCAAAAGGGTAGCTATGTGCATGGCATGGATGTCCTGAATATCTTAGCTAACTAAGCTGTCATATCCAAGAAATTGGATACTCTCATTGCCAATACATTACAGGTCCAACCCAAGGTAGAGAAGTTTAGAAATGAGACTTTGTGAGAACCACCTCAGCCTTAGAAGCTCTGAAAGCCATAGAAAACCAGAACCATGCCAACAACCCATATCTAAACATCTACAATCCTGAATGGAAACAACACCCCAACTTGTAGTGGAACAACAATAACCAAGTCAATCTAGGGGAAGGAGAAAAAAACCAATTTTACCAAGGACAAAGACCAACACACCCCCTGGATTTAACCCAAATCAAAACCAAAAGATAACCACTTTGGAGGAGTTGGTGAGACAATTACATTTGATAACACAATTTCATGGGCTAGCAATTAAAAACATTGAGAGACAATGAGGGAAACTAGTGAGCAGTTTCAACCATAAGAACCTAGGATCGCTCCTTAGTAACATTGAAGTAAACCCAAAGAAGAAAGGAAAGGAGCAAGTGCAAGCTGTGAAATTGAGGAGTGGTAGGGAGTTAGATGAAACTCAAATATTGTGAACGCCCTCATTGATGTGGAATGTGATTTGGAAAAGAAAGAAGAAAGACATGTTAAGGAAACTAAAAACCTCAAACCTCTATGAAGAAAGAACCTGAGAGACTTCCACCCCCATTCCCTCAGAGGTTGCAATAGCAAAAATTGGATCAGCAATTTTCTAGGTTTCTAAG